ACATGCTGAGATGGACCCTGGGTCGGTTCGCCCGACTTCAGGACGTGTGCGGCGAAGTCACGAACTTCATGAGTCAGGTCGCGGAATCGGACGAGCATACCAAGACCAAGCTCGCCGAGTTGACCGACAAGGTCGTGGATTTGTCGAACGGGCTGATTGGTTTAGCCAGTTCGGTCCGTCACACGCAAGACGAACAACTCAAGACTGCTCGGCAAGCTTCGAAGAGCTTGGGGGATGTCAGTTGGCAACTCAGTGGAGTTGGCAAAGGAGTCAACACTTCGGTGAAGGAATCCTTGCTATCCATCGGTAAGATGATCAGCCAGCTCGATTCCAATGTCGGGAAGCAGTGCAAAGCACAAGATGAGACCAATTCCCTTTTGAAAGGTCTCAATACCCTCATGAAGGCCCTCGTCGATGTCGAGCAGCGCAAAACGACGCTTGTGGAAATTCATTTGAACTCCCTGTTGTCTTGTTCAAGTTTTCTTGTTGAGTCAAGGGCATGCGCGTGTGCGATCTTGAAAGGTTGAAGTTTTGCGCTTTGCTATGTCTGTACTTGACAGGATGAAAAGGGAAGAGGCCAGGGGTTCAGAGGAAGTGAGATCAAGAAGAGATCAAGGGTTGAGAATTGTGAGAATCAGGGATGTCTTTTGCATTTGCACCATGTACCATGGCAAACAGTAAAGAGGGTTTGTAGCTAGCAGGGGATTCTAGCTTCCTTTGATTGCTGTGGACTTTGGACCGGATGACGTTTGATGTCGAGTCGATTGGTTGCAGTTGAGGGCAAGCGAAAGGGTTTTGGAACTCAAGATGTGCTTCAGAAGCTGTCAGTGAAACAGTAACCCAGGGTTTGTAACTAAGGGGTTGAAGCTAGACTTCATTTTCACTTGCTGTTTGAAGCTTTGTTCACTTTTGGACTTGTCAGGTTTTGTCACGATGAGGTTTTGTCTTCAGGAACCTTTTGTTTGCTTGGCCTGTCAGGTACCCACTTGGAACCGTTTGCGGTTTGGCTGCAGCACTGCTCCCTCCCTTGCGTGTCCAAGCACTTGGAGGCCAAAGCTCTCAAGCGAGCTAGCAGACTGTTTGCACCTAGACGGGCAGGACATTAGGATTGTTTCGTGACAGTGACGCCCTGGCTCAAACCACCAGATCTTGTACAAGTCAGACCCCATGGCGACCCCCAGTGCCTCCAGGCAGGTCTCATCCAGGGAGAGCGAGCCTGTGAAGGAATGCCGATTGGTGCTCACCACCCTGTCGGGCTCAGTGGTTGAGCTGACCATGAGCGTTGCCAAATATGACAGGCTGGAGGACCTAGAAGACCACGTAGTGGACTATCTTCTAGCCTCTGTAACTGACCTTGAAGTCTTTGGACGCACGCTGGACTTTGTACATCCCACCACGCAAACGTATCTCGAAGACCCGATATGGGAAGTGCTGCAAACAAACATGCAGTTTACCAATATGTGCTTAGGGACTGCCGTGCTTTCCTACATTCGAAGGAAAACTTTGACGGATGTCCATACCGTGACATCCCACAAGCAGTCCAAGTTCCAACAAACCTGGCAGGAATCGTCCCCGCGGGGGCCTTCATTGCCGTGCCACGCTTGCGACGTGTCAGTGTCGAGGCAGGCGTCAACGCAATTGGAGCTGAAGCGTGGCAAAACTGCCGACATCTTAGGGTGGTCAGGATGCCCAGCACTGTGGTGCGAATTGCGGATCGTAGGCTCACTAAACTCCCAGGCCGACACCGATGGCGGGGGACTTATGCAGAGGAAAATGCTTTTGCCATTTGCCCTGCCATGCGTTGGCCACCGTGGTTGCACATGATCCCTGATCAAGGCTATGTGTCAGGCTTAGCTTAGTTCGCCCACCCATATGAGTCAGCAATATCGAAGTTGTCATCCTCCAAGTCTTTTCGTGCACGCGCCTTGTCCCACACGTCAGACGAGGCTTCCACCTTGCCAGTACACGAAGGTCACGCTTGCTAAAGCGGTCCAGATAAGCTGTACCTGCTGGTTGCCTTTTTCGTCTTCGCACTAGCTGTTAGTGAGCCGACCTGGCTGTGAGCCTCAGCTCTTGGCCAAAAGTTGGCGCGTGGCAGTGGGTCTGTAGACGATTGGCACCCAGGTGAGAACCTCAGTTCTTTGTCTGTGGAAGTCAGCACTCAGCCAATCTTGTACAAAGATTGCACAAGAACCATACTAGGATCTTACTTAGGTTTCACCTGTTTCACCAGGGCCATGCATGCCAGAGGATAGACTTATAGTTGACTGTTCTATCCGCGCACGCCCCCCAGGTTTCCTCCGTTTGCTGCCCGGGAGCCTTTAGGGTGGGCGTGAGATGCCTCCCCCTGCCGGTGGGAGGCAAATTGGTTGCCGGTAGCTGCACTTTCGTTGCGATGTCGCTCATCTATGTCACTATTGGCCACAGCCTCTTTTGCTCGTGCAACCATTTGTAGTGGTTGTGCCTTTGAAATGCTGTTTTCCACGGCCTGCTAAGCGTTGCAACGTGATGACTTCTGCAGATCATCACCAACCTTCGTGCTGCAATTCCTACGCGCCTGCTGCCTGTTCTTGAACAAGGTTGATGCGCTTGCAACCGGATCTGGCAAGGGTGACCTTTCCCCTTGTCCGCATAAGAAGGCCGCCTTTGAATGGCCTTCAAGGACAACTGCGCAGGTCCTGATACAGCAAACTCATTTCGTCGCGAATTCGGGCCCACTTAGTTAGTCAGTCACTCTTTTGTTTCACACGTTTCACTTAGCACAGGCGAAACTCTGCTTCCTTGGTTTTGGTGCTTGTCTTTTGGGGTGTTTTTTGGGTTGATTTGGGTTTGGTGTTGCTCTCCCCTTTCAATAAGCAGAGTCTCCATCCTTCTCATGATGACCTGGGCGCACCGCCCACATGGCGTCCGTACTCGTGGAAAAAAAGGAGAACTCTTCTCACAAGACAGTACACCGCAAGCGTAGAGCGATCTGTTGTCTTCCACCTCATCCTGGTCACCCTGGCTGGGGATGAAATCCAGCTGCCAATCGAATTACAAGAATTTGATCGCCTTGGTGAGTTTGAGAATGCGGTAATCGAGAGTCTCCCACTCATAGGCAAGCATAGCACCTTTGGTTGTGAGCTGGAGTTTGTCAGCATGAGCGCCCAGAGAATCCTTGCTGACCCCATTTGGGACACCCTGCATGAATGCAACTGCTTCAGCCTCGTTGTGCGACGGTGCTTTATACAGGCGGAACACAAAGGGCAGCTGCGACAAAGAGCCAAAGCCATCTCTGTTCCTGCCGAAGACAACGATCGAGTGCTGCCCAATGTCAGCGACTCCAAATCGTCAAGCCACCGGACGCTGTCGTTTGCCTGCAGGACGGTGTGTTCCAAAGATGCTACGAGCTCAGAACTGTTCTTGTCCCAGGATGCAAAAAATTCGGACGCAGCGTGTTTGCGGAATGCTGCTCCTTGTCCCAGATAGGAGCTGCTGAAGACACAACCAACCTGCTGGCCCCGGCATGCCCAGGTCTCCCCGCATGCCTTTCAGAGATGCCTCGCACTTCGGCAGATTAATTTCGAGAAGACAGAGGCCAACCCGTGGCAAAGCTGTTTTGGAGTCACCGCCACAAGCAGGTGATGCATCTCTGTCATTCTCCTCCCCTCGGGGAGGAGTTGTCCCCGTTTGTAGGAATGCCTCAACTTCGTGCCTGCATGGAGGCGGCAACGCTGCAGCTTTGCTTGCGACAGCCTGAAGCTCTTGTAAGCTGCTAGCAGTGGTTTTTCCCTGCGCCATATCCATGCTGCCTTGCGAGCACCCTGCAGTTTTGTTCGTCTCGGGATCCCCAATGATGCATGAACCAATAGCTGCCTGCAAGGCATTCCAATGCCCTCCAAACTGCTCTCGCGACGCAATTTCGCCCATAGTGTTCTGCCAGGAAGTGCCGTCCTTGACATGCACGAAAACTCAGCACCAAGAAAGGCGTCACGCTGTCGCAAGGAATGAAACCCAGCACTCCATGGTGGCGAAGATGTACTGAGAGCCAACCGAATTCATCGCCCTTGTTTCACCTCCTCTCATTTTGGCTTACGCGGCCTCTTGAGCTACACCCCAGGTTGCAGTTTGTGTTTTGGGGGTTGGGTTTTGGTTTGCGGTTTGTTTTGGTGGGGTTTTGCGGTTGTGTTTTTTGGTCTTCTGGGTGTCTTCTCTACTGCAATCTGGATTGTAACTCTCTCTTCACTAGCATAAGACGATGACCTGTGCAACCTCTGCACACATGGCGTCTTCACCCGTGCAAAATGGCCCTCTGCTTGATTTTTTTCGAAAAGAGTGAAGAGGCGCAACAACGCCGGATCCGGTAAAGCGAACTTTGGGGACGACGGAAAAAATCCTGATGGGTGGCAAAAACCCTTCCACATCGGGGCAGCAGTCCTGAGGCCCACAAAAGACCGGGGACCATGCGTCGCGGAGCAATGCCGCGCCGGCACTGCGACCTGAAGTGATCCGAGTTTCGCACGAAAGCGACCATGGAGGTGGGCGGGATCGTTTAATCCATCTGGCAGCACCCTTGATGGTCTTGATGTTGTTCTTCCAATTGCGAAGGGCATTTCTTTGGGAGGCAAAAAGAAGATCATCCAAAAGATGCCCAAGGGAGTTCCTCACGGAGCCCCAGTCAGAAGCAACCCGAACGGAAGGGATTCCCAAAAGATGACAACAGTTGTGGCCACCCTTAAGAAGCTGGGCAGAAGGAAAAATTCCACGGCGGAAATTTGACAAAAGTTCTTCGACGCGCCGCAACGCACGCCGGATTTGCCGCTCCCGCAAGCTTTGACCTTCACCTGACTCGAAAGGGAGGAGACTCTTCACTCCGTGGTTTAGGAGAGGAATCGGGGTGAGAATTGAGGACCGGATGGGATCATACCGGAAGCCCGAAGGAATCGTTCCGCGTCGAAGGAGACTCCATGTTCCCAGAGAGACACCACGTTACCAGGAGTACTTTTTCAGTACTTGCACAGCATGATACTTGCATTTTTCTCAAGCTTCAAAGCGCGGCTGCAAAGTTTGCTGTTCGGCAAGTTGCGGTCTCAGACTATCACTATTTCAAATTGCAAAACACATTGTTTTGCGTGTCAGGCGTTTGCTGGTGTTGTCGTTGGCAGCCTTTCTTCCTGCAGAGTTTTGCAAACGCACATGTGCACCATGAACTTGTTTGTAGAAATTTCTTTGCACAATGAGATCCGACTTTTGTTTCATCGAGTTCATGAGGGCATTTGGAGAAGCCACAACTACCCTTGCACATAAGGCTGATGGCCGTGTGGATTCAGGCGGTTTCAATGGTTTGCATTTGGCATGCTGTGGATTGAAATCATTGGTGCTTAGAATAGTAGCCGGCCAAAATGCAGAAACACTGTATTCCACCCGTGCACGTTCCTCACCATAGTTTTTACATATACTTATATGTATATGTACTATAACAACACAGTTTTCATTGCACCCATGTGCTGCCTCACTCCCTTGTTTTGTTGAACACATGTGCATTGTTCCAACAAGTCCAAGTTTGTCAATCGACTGCTGACCACAGAACCGCAGGTTTGCTAAGTCAATGAACAGGAATGCGTGGCTTGGCAGCAGTTCGAGTTTTAGGAAACACTGAGCCCCACACGAGTTTTGTCATTCTCCTTATCAAACGTTTTTTTGACACACAAATTCATCTTTTTGGTGGCCCAGCAAGGAACTACAACATCCGCGAAAGAATGGCAAACCGGTTTGAGGCACGCTGGACATGACAACAAAACCATTTGTTGTGTTTTTGTTGCACCTTACCTCATTTTCTATGGCAGACATTATATATTGGCACTTAGCTGAGTTCCTCGGAAAGCAACACAACCGTACAGTATGTATCTCACTCTTAAAGTCATCAAACTGAAGTTTGAACCCAGTATTCAAGAGGAGTGGAGGCCCTGTGGGCTTTTGTCTTCATGGCTCCAGTGCAGCTAAAGAGGATGGACACTGCCCGGGCGCTCTCTTCATTTTAACTCACTGCATGTTCTCCACTTCCGTGCTGGAAAGGCGCACCTCCCTTGACCCCCAAATGGAGTCCGAAGCGGGGCGCCGGGTGGCGCTCTTTGACAAAGAGAATCGTCCGAACTTGGCCAACATCCAGAGCAAAGAGGCCAACAAAGCCAAGGTGCCAGCCTCAACTTGTTTGAATTCAATAAAATGGCAAAGGGGACTAGTAGATGCAAAGTTGTGCGTCCGAGTAGATTGTTGCAAAGCATCCTTTCAACTGCAGCATCCCTTGACCTGCTTGCGTGGTCATGCGACATCATAGCAGTGCAGTGTTGCAGTGTCACAGAAAGAGTAAGCCAGTTAGTAAGCAAAGCATTCAACCAAAGCCCTCTATATACGGCATTCCCAGTCCACTTAGAGGTGACTTGAGAGCGGGCCATTTAGAATGCAGCTGGGCTTCCTCAGGACGTGGGCGAATGGTGGCTCCAGCAGCGGCGCGACCAGCAGTCCCTTTGGGAGAAAGGCGAGGCCAAACTGAAGAAGCGCTGTGAAGAGCTGGAGAATGAACGACAGGCGTGGCGGACCTCCTCACTAGAGTATGCGACCAAAGTAAAATTTGTTTCGCTCTAGCCATGACATGGCTCGGCCCTGTTCTGGTTCTGGTTTCGTTTCTTTCTCACATGGTATTTCTTGTTCTTTGTCTCCTTTAGCCTCCTGTTTCCTTCCTTTTCACATATAAATTGCTGTTCCCATGTCGCAATTGTAGTTCAAATCATAATGCAATGCAAAAGCCTGTACAGTAAACGATAAGAACAAAATGGGATGTGTGAGCACCATACTGTATATATATATAGTCTGGCCCTGGTTCAGGGATCTGGGAACGTAGACTGCTCTTTTGACATAGAATCCCATGTGTTGGGGCTTCGCCGGGCTTCGCTGCTGGTTGCTCGGGAAGTCGAGTTGGCTGCGAGGCTCAAGCAGAGAAGCTGTTGGAGTTGGAAGAACGTTTGAAGTGGGAAGAGGAGCAACGGAAGGCCAGGGATGTGGAGGGGACCCATAAAGCCATAGAAAGCGGTTTGATTTTTCTTTGGTTCACAGGTTATGGACCTATGGATACGGTTTTCTGAGTGATCCTTGGGTTTCAGATGTGTTGTGGACTGTGGACAACAGGATGAGTCTCGCAGGCTCAAGCGCAACGGCTGCAGCTGGTGCTCCGCGGCTCTGAGGCCGTCGAAAAGCTGGCATGTGGGGAGCCTTAGTATCTGACAAGGCATGCCTTGGGTTTTGAAAGTCGGGCATGGCATGCTTCGATCATTCTACTCCCCTGTCCTCCACCTGAGGGTTGCATAATGCTTTCACATGGTGCAAGCTGAAACTGGCAGCTCACCGAGAAGCAGTCCTTGGACTGCTTGTGATGAATGAGGCCTTCAGAAGCTTCATGAGCAGATGCGCCTTCTCAAGGAGAGGACCACTCAGCATGAGGCGGGAATCAGTGACTTCTTTTCCAGGGCTTCATTTCCTTTGACGCCACTTCTGGACAGGGAGCGCACAGAAATTGAACAGTTGTTGATTCCGACAGGAGAAGTTGCAGGCCTTCACCAAAGAGAGGCCATAAAGAGGGGTTCGTCCATGGGGATAGGTTTTGACAAACTTGAGATTTGAATCAGACCTATCAAGCTGCAGGCCGGCTGGTGAAGCTAATGACAGCCCACGTTTGGCGACCTCTATGGAGGCTAGAGTCTCTGGAGTCCGCAGCTACTCAGACTTTCTAGTAACAAGAAGCTACTAGGAACAAAGGGCATCGCTAATAGGATCAAGAAGCTACTAGTAGCTCCTGGCATTTCTACTAGTAACAACAGAAGCTACTAGTAGCTTTCTAGCTTACAAAGTCACAGACGTCTAGGTCCAGCATCACATGTGGTGCTAGAATATGATCGCGGCTCAAGCCTCCGTTTGTTCCTGCCAGACAGCTTGTTCTGTGAGGCTGTGGGAGAGGTAGAAAAGCTGAAGCAGGAGCCGCTGGTGCAAAAACGGAACAGGTGCTTGGAACATGTGCTTGAGACCCTTCATGTTCAACTTCACTGTGCCAAGAGACAATCCCCAAAACAGAGAAACATTCCGATCCTTCTCTTGGTAATGTTTTGTGTTCTTGTTTCTTTAGACCTTTCTCGTCTCTTCTCTCCTCTCTCCTCTCTTCTCTCTCCTCTCTCTTCTCTCTTCTCTCTTCTCTCTTCTTCTCTCTTCTTTCTTCTCTCTCTTCTCTCTTCTCTCTTCTCTCGTCTCTCTTCTCTCTTCTCTTTTTTTTCTTCTCTTCTCTCTTTTCTTCTCTTTTCCTTCCTCTTTTCTCTTCTCTTTTTTCCTCTCTTTTCTCCCTTCTTTTCTCTTCTCTCTTCTCTTCGCTTTTATCTTCTCTCTTCTCTCTTCTCTTCCTCTTCCTCTTCCTCTTCCTTTTCCTCTTCCTCTTCCTCTTCCTCTTCCTCTTCCTCTCCCTCTCTCTCTCTCTCAGTCTCTTTCTCTTTCTCTTTCTCTTTCTCTTTCTCTTTCTCTGCTCTCCTCTCCTCTCCTCTCCTCTCCTCAAGCAGCGATTTCTTTCTTTTAATTGCTTTGTAGGATTCCCACAAATATTGCAGTCAGCCGCGACTCTGCCGGCCCGTGGCGTTTGAGTTTTCAGGAGCTACAGCAGATCAAGGCAGAGCTGGCCGAAGCGCAGGCTGAAGCTGAGGTCCGCAAAAAGTGTTCCCGTGAGGTGCGCCGAAGATGCCCGGAACCGGCTGAGGTAAAAGAGTAGAGCAGGCGACATAGAGCATGACGAACTCTGGAGAGGGTAAAAGACGGATGGTCCTTGGAGTCCTTGACCAATTTTTGTGCAACGCTTGACAGTTTTGGGCACTTTGCCAGGTACAAGAGGAGTTACAGCGTGATTGTGATTCATGGCAGCGTCACGCGCGGACATTGGAGCTTGCCACAGCTGGTGCAGGCTGGTCATACCTACAGAGCACGGCGTCATAGTAAGATTAAGTTGCTGGAAGCACTCAGACTAAAGTGGATTTCTAGTGAATAGCTCTTGGCTGAACCCTGGAGTAAACCTTGTTGGGCTTCTACATGACCAACCCAACTAGATGAACCATAAGCCATAAGCAAAATCTTGAAAAGTGCACAAAGCACTTCATTTCAAACTGTTCAGACGTCATAGACAGAAGGGCTTAGATTATATAAACCTTAGATGCTCACATTGTCCACCTTGGACTCTCGTCGGGAAAGGTTTAGATTAGATCCCTACATCATGTTACATCGTCTTTATCTTCACACATGCCTTCGCTCCACACAAGCACAATTTCAGTCTGCAAGCATTGAACACGGGGAACAGCCCCTTCTGCAACCACTTGCTCCTCACTGTCAAGATTTCTGCTTGATGCAGGAAAAAGGTACTATTTTTCGATGGTTAGGGCTAGGGTCATAATGGGTCATACATACATGGGCAGTTTCTTCTTATGTCAGGTGCACTGCAAGCTCAGCAGTAACCATGTGATGAGCACACCGTTCATGTCAAGAGGCTAACAGAGAGTAGGAGTGGTAAGCAAATTGTCAAATTGTCAGAGCTTAAGAAAGCTGTCCATGGAAACCATTGCTGAATGTCCAATCTCAAAGGGTCAGTCCGCCGATTGAATAAAAGTTGCACTCTCAAAGACATCTGGGCCTCCTCCAACTCAGAGTGAGGAAGACTCAACTCTGGAGTTGGAGCCGATGCGAATACGCAACCACAGACGATGAAGAAACCTTGAGAGGCAGGTCAGCGAATGAAAGGCATCTGACTTTCAGACTCCATCCTCCAGGTCCTCGATTCGGACTTTATATAACTCCAACGTTAGGACTTGGAACTCCGACTTTCAGTCTGCCTGAATCAGGTTTATTTGTATCAGGCAGACTGAAAGTCCCTGGACTCCAGACAATCACGGGCCATTGCGTTCTGAGATCCTTTGCCTTAGCCTCAAGCCGTTCAAGCCTCTCCCAGGCTGCTGCTCCTGCGAAAGGCTCTTCGCTGAGGGACGAGAGTTGAGCGCCACCGTGGCCATGCTGCAGGAGCAGCTGAGATTTTTGTGATGGTTCTCGGAAGAACATATGTCAAAGTTGTTGACCTTTATTTTGCCGTGCTTGAATAGTTGTTTCAATTTGTTTCGTGTAGAATTCTTGCTTTTCAACCGAGAGCTGTCCGATACATTCAAGGATCAATGCGAGACTTTGGAAGTGCGGCCCTCAGACTCAGCTTGCGGCGATGGCGATTTGGCTGGGCCGTTTAGTCTCGAAGGTTGAAAACCAAAGCCTCAAGGGGAAAGTCGAGTCTCTTCAGGCCCGAGCGTTGAACAAGCATTGTCAACTGGCGTTTTCTAGTTACGATTCTAGTTGCTTGGACCTCACCGAATTGTTTTTTTGTGCAGGAGAACCTGGAGTATGTCTCCTCTTCTCATGCTGAACTTGCTGGTCATGTCAATCACAGGCAGAAGATTCGCCACACGATTCAGCTCAAGGAGGACAGAGATAATATGCGAGAGGAGATTCTTGTCACAGAAATGCAAGCCGCCAGGCTAGCCGTTCAAGGGGCGCAACATGCAAACGACAAGCGGAACTAATGATTGCTGACTGCTTTACACAAGGGAGGTGACCGTTTGGCAGACAAAGATTGATGTTTCTGTCCGAGTTGTTTTGAACGTGAGAAACAAGATCGGCCTTATATTTTACATCAAAGTTTCTGAGCACTGTTGGCACTTGAGTTTGTCCTTCTAAGGAATTTTCGGTTGAAGCAGCGAATCCGACAGCTGGAGGCCTCTGAGCACATGAATGTATTTCCAAAGTTTAAGGTCTACCATGATCAAGCACCTCAATACTAGAGCCTAAGGCAGTGTTCATTCTACAGTCAATATAGCAGACTTTGAGACTTCTGACTTCAAAGTATGATGAGCAGAATTGCGTGAGGCGAGCAGGAGCAGCCAAAGCATCATCAATGCTGTGGCTGGCTTTACAGGCCAGCTTGCTTAACTTGGACATTGATCGGTTTTGGTGTGTTTGGAAAATCGCTACATCTAGAAAACGGTCTGGAGATTCATCACTTGCTCCAGATAAAGGATGAGAAGGTGTGAAGGCAACATTTTCCCTGCAGGAGCAACGCCTGATGCAAAGAACTGCACATTGCAGAGATCTTCAAAGCCAGGATTCAGGCATGAACCGATCCGATCAATTCAATGCATACATGACCAAGCCACTGAATGTGACTTTGAATTGTAATTGAACGTATGTACCACATCTACATATATATATATATATGTATACTTCCATATAAGTTTCCCTAAAAATCTAGGAACCAAATCATTAGTGCGAGTGCTTCCTTGAAGAAGCGTGAGCTATCATTCATCCATGCTAGCTGCTACTAGCTTAAGTAAGGTACTAGCTACCTCTCCCTTACTTACAGTAATTAAGTAGGCGTTTACTTAATTAAGTAGGGAGCGGGGAACGGCCTAAAAAAGAAAAAGAAAAGTCACCATTGTCATGAGAGTCTGACTTTGGTCCTGAGACCTGAGAGGCAGCCACGGGTCAGTGGATTGGATGGAAGCGTGCCTTGGTATGAGATTTATAGGCGAGCTGCTTCCGGATCAATCCCTGGAGGTCTACTGAACCGTCTGACTCAATCTTCTTTTCATGGAGTCATTCTAACGTTTTGTTTCTCTATACAGTTGGAATGAGGGTTCGATCGACAACTTTTCTATCCAAAAGCGGGTGTGCTAAGGATCAGAAATTGGAGATGACACGAGTCCAGCAACTCGAGCAGCTTGGTCGACAATTCGGGCAAAGACAAGGATGTTTAACCTTTTGCAGAAAACACATAGCTAGATGTTAAAAGCAAACACAGCTCATCAAAACTTGTGAGCCATTTGAGGCGTGAGCTTGAGCGGAACAAGAACAATGTAATGCATTTCATGGCCTTGATTCAACGCGCAGTGTCGGGAACCTATGGACAAACTCGTTTGTTTCAGTCCGACGAAAAAAGATCTCACACATGAGCAGAAAAGAAGCTTTGGTTTCTGTGGCTTTGCATTTCGTGGGTCGGTGACGGTCTCCGGGTTCCTCTTGAGAACAACCAAGTCCTGAGGGCCCAAGATGACGCTGGGGATGCGGCGAGCTTGCTCAGCGCCCTGCGTTCAAGGTAGAGCTTGGGATCAGAAGGGATCACAAGCTGTCCGCATGGCGAGCATGGTTGAGAAATTGGACCAACAATTCACCTGAAGAAGCTGTTGTTCCTTTTTGCTGACTGGTCTATTTTGCTCAACAGCGTTGCTTCCAATGGTTTGAGGAGGAAACCAGTCAGGAGAAAACCTTGCAAGAAGCCCTTGGATTTACCTACATGAGCCCCTTGTATCAAGCTCTTTGAAGCTACCCCAAAAGGGCCACCAAGCTTTGCTGAAGGGTCTTGTGCTGGTGACGGCTGCTGCAAGAGTCTTGGAAAAGCTTTTGATGACTGATAAAGACAAGTGGAGTACTTCTGCTATACTTTTGACTTTAGTCATCTCTATCTACAAGCACAGGGTTTGACTGGCAGTTCAATGCTCATAGAAAAGCACATCCGCTGGCACTTGCAATCGTTTCAACCCAGATCGTTGGCAGGTTTCTCGGCTGAGGGTGCCGACGATTTGCGACAATGGAAGTGGCCTTCAGAGCCACACAAGGATCATGTACTGTGTTTTTGCATGTTTTTGCTCTAAGACTTTCTTTCCTTTCATCTTCATCCAGTTTTGGGAGAATATTCATTGTCCCCCATGTGTGCCTTTGTGCGTTGTTGTGAGAATTTGTAATTCAGCTTCGCTTAGTGCAGAGGTTGGAGCAGTGCCTTGTCAATTGACGAACGAGGAAAGCTCTCCACCCTGCACCAAAGTGTCATTGCACAGTTGTTTGGCCTGGCAGTCCTTGGTGGCTACGTCACCTGCGCCAGGGATAGCTGCAAAAAGATGCCTTTCGTGGGGCATTTGTGGATTCCACATGTTGAAGCATCGAGTACACTTGGAAGTTTCAGAATGAACAGTAAAGCAAGGACGCTACTAGGACTACTAGGAGCAAGGACGCTATTAGGGGCTCCTTGCCTTACTACTAGGAGCAAGGACGCTACTAGGACAAGATTCTCTGGTTCTCCACGATGCCAAGGATCCTGACAACCCCTTCAGGTACTTGATATTCGTCTTACTTAAAACCCTGTACCCTATGCAGTATCACTTGGCTCGCAAATTGAAATTGTGTATTGCAAAATGTCCAGCCTTCTTTTAGAGCCACTTGCAACAGATCGGTATCGGATGCCGCCCACAGTGTATGATTCGATTCTGCTCGACGGCAGGTAGATCAGCGTGCAGCACTTTTTGGTAGCCGATTTCCAGGCGAAGCACTTTTCCATCAATTCTGGAGGTTGTCGATCTTCTCTGTAGAATCACAACCCCTTTCAATTAACCGAACACCTGACACGTAAAGGTCTTTCCTTCCGTTTGAGTGGGAGGCTGTTTATGCTTGACCCAGTTGCGGGAAATAGATCAGTACCTGAGTACAAAACATGAAAAGCTTAAAACTTAGCCCCCACTGCAACTTGAAGCCAACTCGTCTAATCTCCAGTACTCTCAATGACTCTTGGCAGTCGGGAAGCTTTTGTTGCCTTTGAGTGCCAAATGAGACTTCCACATCCCTTGATTCGCTGAGCTAGCTGTCAACTGGTGAAATGTGTCCGAGATAGAAACGACGTCTAAGATATCATGCAGAAGTGTCCCAGAAGCTGAACTTTTCACGTGCACGCTTTCCAAGTTTTGGTAGAGCACGCTTCGCTTTTGGTGTCATGTCCCCGTTTTCGAGTCGAGTTTTCGAGGCAAAGGTGCGCAAAAGCCAAAAGATGACATGTATGCAGCGACATCAAGGCCCCGAGCTTGTGCTTGTGATGTTGATTCTGTGAGTGGCTTTGTGCAGTTACAAATTCAGACCATGGAACTTGCATGCTTTTTTGATTGCAGTTGTCTTTTTAATGTAATTTCCGTGCATAGCTCGGTGGTGTTTGAGGGAGATGATGGAGCGTCAGAATGATGCAGCTATCGAGGAGTCACATTCCTGCTTGGATAGTTTTTAAATGTTATCAAAGCATCCATCCAGCAGGGACAGGGTTGCGTGAATCAACCGCTAGACTGTGGCCTCTGTCATGAAGCGCAAGGTATGATATAGACATTTTTCTTACCCAACCTCAAAATGCCTTCTACCAGGTGCTGAACATTCGCAATCATTTTGGCAACCAAGGACCTTGAGGACAAGGTTGGGCAGCTGAAGGACATCACAAGGAGCTGGGGGGCCTTGAGACCAGAGCATCACCAGAGCCTTGTGCACTTTGGGTAGCCAGGTCTTGCCGGATATTTGTAGCCATAGTGTACTACATGAGTACTACAGAGTGTCTTGCATTGCATTTCTGCCGCGGAAGCTCAGAGCTTCGAGGAGCATTGGGTCATCCATCAAAGATTCGAACAGCTTGCTGGACCAGATGGGCATCGAGCTCAATCCTTTGACATCAGTTACTCCCAGTTGCAAGGGTGCTATTAGGTTGGAGCCATCGCTATTAGAATCTAACTAGACAAGTTGGTCAATTTTTGATGTTCATCAGCTCGATCGAGGAATCGACTTCGACAAGGCGGCGAGCCTTTTGAAGGGCACCCTCGGTCATCTCAAGGTGAGGGGTCGCAGCTGCGCGGCCTTGCTGTGTGTGCGCCTCGCTTTGCTTTGATGCAGTTGGATTGGACGTGGAAGCATGTTGCTGGATTGTTATGAAATCGACAGGGCATGATGGCCAACAAGAGTAGCAAGCACATGATCTACATGGTGCTTTTTGCTCCTTGAAAGCACCAAGTATTTGTCATTCAGTGGTGATGACTTGTTGTTTCGATCTGTGTTCAATGTTCAAGTCTAAGGTTTTGTGCCTCTTCATGCTGATGTACTTCCTCAGGAAGCTAAGCTTCGGGCTACAAGCTCAGACTGGTCGACAGGAGAGGAACGACAGGAATACTGTAAGCCAATTGATGAGAAGGCACATACAGGATGAAACAGGCAGAATGTTCAATGAACATCATTGAGTGCCTTTATTCTAAGCTCTAGTGCTATACAATGCTATTGCCTTTGGGCTCTTCGAGGTCTGGAGGCGCCACTTCAATCCAGTTGTGAGCGACTCAGTACGGTCGACTCCCAGGATACCTTCGTTCTTTCGCAGCTTTCTGAAAGCTATGACGGAGTGCAAGCGAGGGTCGTCCATGCGAAAGAAAACACGTATACTCTGCGTATTTAATGTTCTGTAGCTAAGGAAGGAGAATGCGTCTCAAGGAAACTGAGACAAAACATGCAGCGGTTCTCTGTCTTGGAAGAAATAATTCCTTGCTGTGCAGATGAGATCCGCCAAGCCAGTTTTTGAACATGGATTTTCAGTCATGGCAGAGTACACTTTCTTTGGTAAAAATGGGTCGGCCATATATGAGTACCAGAATAGTCCCGGCAACACATAAGGTCTTCTTTTGCTTCAAACCTTCCGTCAGCATACGCTTGGCATTTCTCCCTGGGCCAAGCAACAGACCAGCCGGCCTGGCAAAAAAAGGGCCACAGCATGCTGCAGTGCACGACGAATTGGACTTGATTTTGGCATCTCAAAGTGACTCTGTTCAACACCATTTCACAGGCCCCAAAGGGCTAGACGCGCGATGAAAAGATGTCCGCCACGGCCATTCATGTTTGGCTTACAGTTTGCAGCGATCCTTCCGTCACAAGGCCCGGTGCGTTGATTCTCGGAAGCTCCGACTCACGGAGACTGAAGGGCGGGGGATGTTTCAGTTCTCACGGAGAGCGGTCTGTCAAGTGGAAGGAAGCGAAGCATAAATATGATTTCCAGATGGTACCCGGACCTGACCAGTACTGTGCCCATCTATATACTGTACTTGATCTATTTAAACATATTTAAACAACCATATCAAATCGAAAGTGCACATGCACCAGTTGGCAACCAGCTTCATTGTCAGGTTGAGAAGGATGCGAACAGAATTCACTGAAACTGACAACATCAATGGAGTTCAGGCTGAGGATTGCTGTCCTGTTTATGGTTGTAAATGTAGGCCAGAGATATTGCATGGCGGAACGCAGCGTGAATCAACCTGTCCTACGTACTACTTGTTCTGACTGTCATAGGATGTTGGACCGGCCTTCTCAGCATAACAAAGTCTGTTCATGGCTTCGCCCACGGCCTGATATGCTTGGCTCAGCAAGTACAGACCGACTGGTTAAGTTACCTTTCACAGACAAACTCCCTAGCATCATGGCAGA